TCGAGCGGAAGCGCTGTTGCTGGATGCCGGTGTGGGCGCCGAGGCGAAAGCGCCACTCCTGAATAAACTGCGAAGAAGAATCGAGCGAGAGCGATGTTAGATCCTCCAGTTTTGAACAACAAGTACTATTGATCCCCCCGTCCAGCATCAACTGTGTTTCAATCGCAGTGTGGCCCCCGCCCTCGCCCCGGGGCTCGCACCCCGTTCCACAGACAGTGCTTGCACCCAGGGAGTCTTGCTTCGCCTTCGCAAGACACTGGACGGGTCCACGGGGTGTGTTCCACGCTGCCGCCCCGTGCAGCCTCGCAGGCGCTGCGTGCGCCGGGTGGGTCCACCGAGGTTGCGCCGCGTTGCTGTCCGTGCCGCCTCGTGGGCGCTCCTGGGCGCCCCGCGCGGTGAGGCTGCACCACACAGCTGACACTACACGGCTTGCACGATATCGCGTTGGCCGCACAGCTTGCACCACACGGCCTGCACGACACAACTGACGGCATGTAGCCTACGCCGCACAGCGTTCGCCTTCGGCTCACACCACATCGATGGCACTACAGTGCCGTCGTCGCAAAGACATGGCGCGCAGCGTTCACCTCTGTAGCTCGCAGCACATAGCAACACGTGAGAGCTCACACCCCAGAGCTTATACGGCATAGCTCACACCACAGAGCTTACACGTCATAACTTACACCATAGAACAGCAACTCACCCTTTTGGGTCTACACTGACTCATGTTCTTCCAAAAACAACATTGATGCTCAACCCGTGTTGTTGATCCCGTTTACAACAACAACAACAACAACAACAACAACAACAACAACAACAACAACAACAACAACAACAACAACGGCTCCCGCCCGGTAACTCCTCCACAGTGTCTTCACAATCGCGCCCTCGAGCTGGACTTTCTCACATTTTACTCTGGAGTCGCGCTCTCGCTCGGGAACACCTCGCAAATTATTCGGACGCAGCGCCCTCGACCTCTAGGAATCGCGCTCTCGCGCGTGAGACTTCTTCGCAAACTACTCGGGACTCGTACTTTCGCCTGAGGCTTCTTCACAACTTGCGCAATTCGTTCCAACACCCCGCCCGCCCGTGAGGGCCCGCCTGCCCGACCCGTCAGTGAGGGCTGGGGTCCGGCAGCCCGACCCGCCCAGTGGGGTCCACCCGCCCGTTCGTTTGCTCGGAAGCCCGAGCGCTGGCTCGAATGTCCCGCCCGCCCGAGCCGCCCACGTTGGGTCCGCCCGCCCGACCCGCCCGTGCGGGTCCGCTCGCCAATCAATCCTCCCGTTTCGCTGTCCTCCCTCTCCTGCAAAGTATCCGTCGTCCTCAAGTCTCATATCTCCCTCTGGACCCCCTCACCTCTCGTTTCCTTCTGCCTTCCTCGCTGTCTCCCTTTCTCGAGAGAGCCGGTGTTCGGCGGCGAGCGAGGGCACCAGTCCTAAGCAAAAAGCAAGGCATCGAGAGGGAGCATTGTTGTTGAGGGCCGGTTTGGGCGGACCCCCGAAACGCTCAAGCGAGACCATCACTTTCAAAGAAGTGTAGCCAGCGCCGAGGAACGAGAGCGAAAGCGGATTGACGGGGCCCAGCGAGAATCACTCACAAATGCCGAAGAGTCAACAGACATCACCAGCACCATCACCATCACCGCCACCGTCACTATTGCCGACATCAGATCAGCGAGTGTCCGCTCTAGGGTGTTTCAGTGCCCGCGCTGCATGACTCCCCGAGACTCCAGCATCGTGCCGGACCCGACGCTGGAGCCGTGGTGTGGCCCGTCGCGCTTAGACTTAGGTCGGGCATGTCCCCCTACAGGCGGATGTTGGACGAAAAATCAAACATGGCCCAAAAAGATGCGACAATGGTGAAAAAAATGATCGAAAAATCCTCCCCACCATATTTTTTCAGCTGTTTTGGGGTATTCCTCCTGTGGAGGGACACGCCCGACTTCAGCACAGACTGCTGCGGGTGCCGCGCCGGCGCTGCTGCGGCCTCGGGGCCGGCCGCCCCCCCACGGCCTGCGAAGGGCACTGCGCGTGGCTCTCGGCGGCGCGGCTGCGGTCGGTGGCACGGGCTGCTGGCTAGCGATGGGGCGGGGCTGCGGGCGGCGGCCTTTTGATTAGATCGGGAAGATGTCAACGGCCGGTGTACTTGACATTCCTCCTGCCCGCCCCTCCCATCCAACTCCCGTGCGTCCTTCTCACCCTAATCATAGAACGTGCGGTGAGGAGCGATTTCAACGGCCTGCCCTCCCACAGGCGGGCTTCCGGCGAGAAATAGAAAGGATGGTCCAGGATTTTGCGTTTAAAGCTCCTGTAGAGGGACAGGCCCGACTTCAACCTCTGGAGTGGCCTTCTGCTGGCGCCTGGCCGGAGCCTTCCTGCACATCGACCCGGCGAGGATGCTCCGCCGGCCGTCCTGGAGCCCCGACCGCAGTGCCCCTGCCGTGCGATGCGGCCTCTGTCGGCGCGCAAGCCGACGCGGAGGCTGCCGCGGGCGGAGCCGCCGTGCCGTGCCTTCCGGGCGCGGGAGGCGTCTGCTGCGACCCTCGGCCGATAGAGAAAAGCGGGTCGTGGGGAGCTGGCGGAACAGATCCGCGACCCTGGGAAGGAGACCTCCAGAGACCTCCCGAATGCTCGGGTCGCCCCAAGCCCCTAGCACCAAGACAAATCCGGAAACCTCGATCCTCGATTCTCCATTCTCCCCGCCCTGCTTCACCCTCCTCCTCTTCCTCCTTCCGCACTCTTCCTCGTCCTCCTTCTCCTCTTCATCATCATCAGCAGCAGCAACAGCAGCAACAGAAGCATCAGCATCAGCATCAGCAGCCCATCAGCATCAGCATCAGC